ACCCCCCCCCCCCCCCCCCCCATCTCTCTGATCTGCTACAACCGTATGTCCCACCACGTTCCCTGAGGTCAGCGGACCAGTTGCTTCTCACAGTTCCAGGAACTCGTCTTAAGCGCAGAGGGGACAGGGCCTTCTCTGTAGCAGGACCAAGACTTTGGAACGAGTTACCTCCGCTTGTCAGGCATGCCCCCTCCCTCTCAGTTTTCAAATCCCGTTTAAAAACTCACCACTATTCAGTAGCTTTCAACACCAGATGATCTGTGTTTTGAACCTGTATGCTTCACACTGGTTAGTCGTCATATTTATTATCTGCATCGTTTTTATGTCTATATTCTGATTTACCTCATTTCGTATTTTGCTTTGTGTGTTGCCTGTTTTTCTGTCTGTACAGCACTTCGGTTGGCCTTGTCGCTGTTTTAAGTGCTCTATAAATAAAATGGTATGGTATGGTAATAGTTAGATCAGGTTTATCTTGTAAATGAGTCTTCGAGGCTCAATGGGATTTACCTGTCTAAATAAAAGTTGAATGAATAGATAATATAGAGTTTTGTAAATCTGATACACAAACAAGCACTGATATGGATATAACCAACAAACATGGACTTCTTATCATCAAGTCATTATTTCAATTTAATAGATATTACAGCATAATTTAAATGTCTGTACACAAATAAAACAATGTGCACTGAAAGTGCGCATTCCATTGCCAAGACTCAGTTTTATGACCCAACTTATGTTCCCACAGATATGTGGATCCATTATTCTAAGTCTTGAAGAATATGAAAAACGTCTAACCTTTATTTAAGCAGAAATGTTATATTTGAGATGTTAAAGTGTTCTGATCTGACCTGGGAGCTGTGAGCAGTGATTAAGCTGGTGTAGTGATGGACTGGCTCAAAAAATGCTGATTCTACTGGGCATGTTTTAGTTTTGAGTCATCACATTGTTTTGGGCTCAGATTCCTCGTGTGCTTCTGTGTCAAAACTTATGATCTGTATGTTCTTCAGGCCTGACGTCAGCACTCCGTGTTGTGTTTAGATGTTTCACTACTCCTGCTGTTAACCCCTGAGAGCTCTGGGAAATGTCTGCCTCTTTCTGCCCTTTAAAGGTTGTTTTCTCTGAATGCACATTCTTAAAAAAAGGAAAACTATATAAAATAAACAGCTGCATTCCTCTGTGAACAGTGTCCTTGTTCCCAGTGCTTGACAAAGATCAGCCTATTTATTATTTAAAGTGTTGTCATTTCAAGGTGAGACAGTTTCATTAGCTTGTTTTATGGTTAGGTATTCTTTACACGAGACTTACAAGAAGGCAGAGGATTTGTTATGAACAAGATATCTGTGTAAGTTTCAGGCATCACTCCAGTCACAGGGTTGTCAGCTGAATGTTTGCATGATATTCAAAGGCATAAACATATATATTTTTGCTGATATAACATTTTCCATAGTTTTAATTTGTGTGTGTCTTTGAAATAATAAAATCTTATGTTTCAACAGGACAGAGAACTCCGGCCAGAAGAAATGGATGGTAAGACTTTTTTTTAAATTATGTTTATTCTTACTGAGTCAAGTTTTAGTTTGATTAAACACAAAACATTGACGTGCGCAAAATAAAAATTAAATTGAAAATTACACATTTGTATAGTACTAGCAATACAGCTTCGTACATACCAAGTACGTACCTGGTACTTGTACGGTATGTATCAGGTATGCACGATATAAGTGCCAGTTACAAACTCTGGAAGTACTGAGTTCATTTTTGGTTTATAGTGGATATTTACCTAGAAGTTACAGAGTATGTATTCAGAATGAACCCGATATACAGACCCTTTCCAAAAAATTAGAATATCATGGAAATGTTGTTTAACTTCCATAATTCCATTCAAAAAAATAATCTTTAATAGATGATAGATTCAGGGCCCACAATTTAAATGATTTCAAGTATTTATTTGTTTATTTTTTACATAATTTGGGCTTCCAGCTTATGAAACCCACAAAAACAGGATTAAAAAAAAATAGAATACTGTGAAGACATCAGAGTCAGAGTTTCTTTATTGTCATTCGCACCTCATGTGGTACATGTGGTGGAGTGAAATTATGTACACAGGGTCCCAGTTACATCCAACAATAAAATGTATAAGAAAAACAGTAATAACATCTAAGATATGAACTAAGAAAAACATCAACTAAATATACACTAAGCACTCATAACATAAAACATTGAACATCAGCACAAACATGAACATGAGTCTGTGAGCAGATGAGCACGCATGAACACATCAACATTGAAACAGATCAGCAGCAACATGAAACAGATCAGCAGCAACATGATATGGTTTTTCACAGTGATTATTCTAGTTAGAGATTCATGAGTCTAACAGCCTCAGGGTAGAAGCTGTTCCTCAGTCTAGTGGTTATACACTTAATCAACCCACACTACTCAGTTTTTGCAGAAAAAAGAAATTAGAATCACAACAAATCAATCAAAATATGGTACTTTCAAAGCGATATGTCAATCTTCAATACTTGGTTGAGAATCCCTTTGTGTTAATCACTGTCTCGATGTGACGTGGCATTGAGGCAATCAGCCTGTGGCATTGACTGGGAGTTATGGAAGCACAGATTTCCTTGATGCTGTCAGCTCTTCTTTGTTGTTGAGTCTGGTGCCCCTCATGTTCCTCTTGAGAATACCTCATAGATTCTCAATGGGGTTTAGGACCGGCGAGTTGTCTGGCCAGTCAAGAACTGTGGCATGGGCATCAAACCAGGTTTTGGTGCTTCTGGCAGCATGGGCAGGGGCCAGGTCCTGCTCGAAGATGAAATCTGCATCTCCATACAGATTCTCAGCAGAAGGAATCATGAAGTCCTCTAAAACATTCTGGTAGACTGTTGCAGTGACCTTGGATTTAAGCAAGCAGATTTTACCATCACCTGCACTGGACACTGCACACCAAATCATGACTGACTGTGGATATTTCACACTGGACCTCAAGCAGTATGGGCTCTGTTCCTCACCCTTCTTCCTCCAAACCCTTGGACCTTGATTTCTGAATGAAAGACACACTTTAATTTAATCGGAAACGAGGACCTTGGACTATTGGCCAATGGTCCAGCTCTTCTTCTCCTTGGCCCAATTAAGTCGCTTCCCACCTTGGCTCAGGTTCAGAAGTGGCTTGACCCGAGGAACGGGTCAAGTCACTTCAGTTGTAGGTCAGTTGTAGCCCATCTCCCAGATGTGTCTGAATGTGGTGGTTTTTGAAGCTGTGACTCCCGCCTCATTCCACTCTTTCTGGATCTCTGCCAGATTCTGGAATCTTCTCCGTTTGATAATCCGCTGAAGCCCATGGTCATCTCTTTTGCTGGTGCATCTTCTCCTGCCACATTTTGCCCTTCCACTAGACTTTCCATTGATATGCTTGGACACAACACTCTGTGAACAGCCAGCCTCCTGCTAAGAACTTTTGTGGCTTACCCATCCTACGGAGGGTATCAATGATGGTCTTCTGGCCAGTTGTTATGTCTGCAGTCTTCCCCATATTGAACCGAACTGAAGCAATTTAATGACCCCTGGGGAAACCTGTGCAGGTGCTTTGAGTTTAGTAGATAATTAGTGTGTCACACTCAGTTTAAAACATTCATGCCCTGCAAAATTTGGGCTGATTTCTATACAGTATTCTATTTTTTTTTTTTTTTCTGTTTTTGTGGGTTTTATGATCTGGAAGTCCAAATTATGTCAAAATAAACAAATAAATACTTGAAATTGTTTACATTGTGGGCCCTGAATCTATCTTCTATTAAAGATTTACTTTTTGAATGGAATTATGGAACTTAAACAACTTTTCCATCCATCCATCCATTATCTTTATCCGCTTATTCCATTTTGGGTCACGGGGGTCGCTGGTGCCCATGTCCAGCAACCACTGTGGAGGGGCAGGGTACACCCTGGACGGGTCGCAAGTCCATCACAGGGACACATAGAGACAAACGAGACAAACAACCATCCACTCTCTCACTCACACCTAGGGACAATTTAGAGTTACCAATCAGCCTAACATGCATGTTTTTGGTCTGTGGGAGGAAACCGGAGTACCCAGAGAAAGTATAATGATCTATAATTTATTGCAGTCCTATATGGCATTGATATTGCACTCACTGACATTGCAATGACAATAGAGTTTGAATATATGTGTGCAGCCCTTGTACCAAGTACCAGGCTGCATTTGGTATTGCTACTGTTTGTATATACAAATTGCCATGCATTCGTCTTAGAGGCATGCAGCTCAGTGATTAGTGTAATGATTGCTGTTCCAACAGAGCTGCGAGATGCTTTCAAAGAATTTGACAAAGACAAAGATGGTTACATCAGCTGTAAAGACCTGGGGAACTGTATGAGGACCATGGGATACATGCCAACAGAGATGGAGCTGATAGAACTGAGTCAACAAATAAATATGAACTGTAAGCACACAAACATCTCATATATCATGAAAAGAACTGTGTTTTGTTTAAATCTTTAAATTAATGTGCCTTTTTTTCCTTCAGTGGGAGGTCATGTTGATTTTGATGATTTTGTGGAGTTAATGGGCCCCAAACTTCTTGCTGAAACTGCAGACATGATTGGAATAAAGGAGTTAAAAGATGCTTTTAGGGAGGTAAGAGTGACTGGATTAAACTAATGTGTTCGTGTTTTTGAGCAGTTGCCATGTTTTTTGTCCTATTTTTATAGTTGCTCCCTTGCCTTTTGTTTTCAGTTTGACACAAATGGAGACGGAGCCATAAGCACGTCTGAGCTTCGAGACGCAATGAGGAAGCTTTTGGGCCAACAAGTAAGTTTTAGATCAGAAAACTGATCAGTTTGTGAAAAGCTTCTCCCTGAGTAGACACAGTGTGAGTAGGATCTTCATTGACTTCTGTTTCGCCATATATATTTTTCCAGGTGGGTCTAAAAGAAGTAGAAGACATCCTAAGGGATGTGGACTTAAATGGTGATGGTCTTGTTGACTTTGAAGGTAAAATAATTTTCAGCTTTCTGTTGCCAAGGGAAAAGGGTAATACTGTTTTTGCCAGTCTGTGTGTGGGTGTGGGTGTAGTTTATCTAACATTTGCAAACTATCCCATTGGACAGTTTTATTTAAACTCAAAAAGTAATCATTGGACATACAAATTATCAAGTTTTGAAGATAACCCAATTTAAAATGGTAGACACAGCTATGCAATCTCATCAAGCAAAAAAATAACTAAAACTCAACCAGTTTTACGGCGGTTGAACTAATACTAAAGAAAAAAATTATATCCAGTATATATTAATCAAATTACTTTCAGAAATGGTTATTAAAATCTGTCTAGAGTTAGTTTTGTAAATACTTCTTTGCTAGTTCTTCACCAAACCTTTGCTTGGTATCTATATAAGTGACTAAATTATAGACATTTATGTTTTGGTTAAAGTCACTTAGGTATGGCAGCCATCTTGAACTAAGGTACCAGCAACTGTAATATACTATATATATATATATATATATATATATATATATATATATATATATATATCCATCCATTTTCTTTACCCGCTTATTCCATTTTTGGGTCACGGGGGTCGCCGGTGCCCATGTCCAGCAATCACTGTGCGAGGGGCGGGGTACACCCTGAACGGGTCGCAAGTCCATCACAGGGACACATAGAGACAAACAAGACAAACAACCATTCACTCTCTCATTCACACCTAGGGACAATTTAGAGTTACCAATCAGCCTAACATGCATGTTTTTGGTCTGTGGGAGGAAACCGGAGTACCCGGAGAAAACCCACGCATGCACGGAGAGAACATGCAAACTCCACCCAGAAAGGCCCCCGGACCGGGATTTGAACCAGGGACCTGCTCGCTGAGAGGCAGCAGCTGTACCAGTTGCGCCACCGTGCAGACAGACAGACAGACAGACAGACAGACAGACAGACAGACAGACAG